GGAAATTCTAAGGTCTTTTGCCATTCAGATTATTTTCTGAGGAGGCCACAGGGAGTACAGACTCCATATGCAAAACTGGGCCTTAAAAAAAGCCCCTTTTTAAAGGCTAGTGTCTTGATGCAAAAGTGCAGAAGCAAGGGCTACAGGGAAGGACCTCAGCATTGTTCATGTGGTAGAACAAGAGGGACAGTGTGTCCACTTAAATATCTATGGAAAAAGCAGAGATCACACAAGCAAACATAGTGAGGAATCTTCAAGCTGGTATAGTACTTTCTGTTTGACTCATATGTTACTTCATCCAGAAGAAGGTTTCTCCATGTGTTTGCCTAATTTCCCAGATCCTAAGGTGAAATCCCTCAGACATTATCGGACCAGTTTCCTTTCCTCCAAATGAAAACTGTTTGGACAATAGAGATTTACCTTAGAGGCAAAAGACATGACTTCATTTCCCTCCAATAAACATGGAGTTACTGGAAAAAACCACCCTTGAGATGAACAAACAAGATCTCAGCATTACACCCGCTCCTGAAGCTTTCTCTGTGTCAACTTACCAGTGCATTTTCTGGGTGGCAGCAGCAATGCTAGCTAAAATGCAAGCATATTTGCTAGCTTTGATGTTTAACAGGAGCTAAATCTCTGCCTGAATTAGAGTTTAAATCCACAAGCACCATAAAGGCTTAACAGTAAGTGCCCACAGCTGTACACACTAAATCAGACTCTCATGCCAGAAATATATCCAAATGCTTGTTTGCATGGATATAAATACTAAAATACAGGTATGTGCATGCAAAATCGAGTAGGCTGAAAGTTCTGTTCACTCACTTATACAGTGCTGCCTGGATCAAGAACACTAAAATTTGTGTTGTGGGGAGGTTTTTGGGGGTATTTTTGGTTTGGTTTTTTTTGGTTTTGGTTTTTGGTTGTTTGTTTGGGGTTTTTTTGCCTTTTTTTTGGGGGGTGGGGGTTTTGTTTTTTTTTATTGTTGTTTTGGTTTGATTTTTTTTTAATCACATGAGAGAATGTGATGTATTTTGACAACAAAACTGAGACTTGTTTTGTCTTCAGAAACCCCAAGATGGCAATACAGTCTTGTTTTTCTACGCTGCTTATTTCTATTATTTTTATTATTATCATTATCATCACCACCATTATTATATTGCAGTACATGGAACAGATTTGTGATTTTCTCATTTGCCGACATCTAAAAGCCTTGCTGATTGCTAAGGATTATTTATACAAAAAACTGAAAGCTCCAACTACTTTGATGTCTACTGAATGGATGAATGTTATGCATGACCTGGAGTTATTAAAAGATTCCATTCAATAATGTCAACCAAATAGAAACCTCTGCTCAAGTTAGGTTTCCTTTTAAAGATATGGGTGACTTAAAAACCCTGTAAACAAACTATACTTACATATTATTTTCAGCTTAGCATGCAGCATATTTCCACATATATTACATTTTCAGGCAGCAGCCTACCTTGGTTATATATATCTTAATCACTTTTGAATGAATTCGCACCAGGACCCTCATCCTTTTCAGTGTTGAGATAGCTTTGACAGAGCTAAGGTACTCAGTTCTGATGCAGTTAACTTCTGTTGCAGGAATATGGTGAGCAAGTGATAGCAAGCATTGTTCACCTGGGTGCTTGATGAGGGATACTGCAGATTTATCAGTGTTACTCCCTGTGACTGCTGCATAGGGCTTTATAAAGTCATAGGAAAAAATATCGAGGAAAAAAGCTGTGATTTTGAGTGGGTTAGTTGGTATGTACTGGGCCAATGAGACGTGTATGCATAGGGTGGTAGGGTGATGAAAGATTAGCTTCTCCCAGGAAAGTCACCCATACTCCTGGCCCAACCTTGTTAAGTATCAGGCTTAACAGAGAGCTCTGCTAAAGCTGGATGGGAGTACAGCCTTTCACTCAGAGATTTTCTGAGTTCATTTTATCCAGCCCTGCACTGAAAGAAATGAATTTCCAATAGCAGGTTATATCAGTGAAAACTCTTATAGTGTAGTGCTTCAGGAAAGATGTTGACAATGTTAAGACAAACGCTGACCAGATAACCAAAAGAAATAAGAATTACGTAATACTCAGACACTGTTACTCAAAAATATATAAATAATATTAGAATGTTCCAAGGTCATTACACTGTTACAGAAGATAACGGGGATGTAGGCATTGCTTTTGATGATCTGTCAAAATGTTATGCATGTACATGTGTATATGTACACATACATACATACATACATTGTATTTTTTATAACCATAATTATGAAGGTATGTAGCATGCAGAGAAAGTCAATCTGAGTACACTACTTTAGAATAATATCTAACACAGAAAAATAGCAGAAAGACCAGTTATGCAAACAAGGCCATATTATCATCATAACATTTTGCAGCCTCTGAGGACAGGGAAGGCAGTGGCTTGCACACCAGCTGATTGGTCCAGAACTCAGGACTTCCTGCTGTAACAACTGGTTGAAATAATTGATAAGAAAATGGATCACAAAAACAATTTTATAAAACCATATTTGGAGACTAAAGCCATAATTCTTTGAATAAAATCTGTTTTCTCTAGAAGACAAAGAAAAGACTTATGACTAAGTACTCAGTGCAACATTTTTTTTCTGCCTTTCTATCTTATTTAAACATTGTTTTGAAGTCGTAGTATTTAAATGGGAAATCACATGGGGGACTTCACTGTATTGTTACTGAGATGTAAAGAGTCACTCATTTTAATTTACTCTCCATTAGAAGAATGATGTTTAGAACATATGCATGCAGATTACTAAAGCCACCCTCATTACTGCTGGGAAACAAAAAACATACCTTTGGAGAAAGAAGATCTTCTAGTGGCTACTCTAACTCCCAGAAAATGTCTCAAAATATTTTGAAACCAAGCTAGCTAAAACCACAGGAAACCAGAAATTAAATTGTTTTCTTTGAAGATTACTCTGATAAAAGTATGAAGAATAAAGCCTTTTCTGTGACTGACTACAAAAGGCAAATAAAAGGGTGCACCCACACTATTCCTAATAAACTAATTAGGCAAACTAATGCTGTTTCCAGACTTGGATGAGCAGTCAAGAAATGAGAGAGGAGAAGAGACTGAATTACCCTGTCACATCAGGAGGGTAGCTAGCTAATCCTCCACTAACTGAGCTTCTGAACTACATCTGAAAGGGTAGGATGGGGTGAGCTTGCACTGCTGGTTGATATTCTATATATGTTGTGCATTTCTGTGCAGACTCTTAGTTTCTAGTGCTATGCCTGGCAGTTTTTAAAGCACTACATTTATCTGAAAATTAAGAATAGTTTTATTGCTTAAACACTCCATTTTATAACAGAAACCTGCCAAAACCTCCCCTGCCCAACAAGGCAGTCATAGATGGTACATGAAGCAGGCTGTTGGATTTAGCATAAACTGCTCTTCGCACAGGGAATGTGTGAAGAGGGGAGGGCACAAATGGCTCCATTTGAGTTTAGATGTATTTCTAATGACTTAAAAAACAGCTGAAGAGTGAAAAAATCCTTTGTGCAGCAAATGGGGATTTATAGGGATTAGAGTAACATGTTTAGGATCTGGAAAAGCATTTGTTTTGTATTATTATAGACATTTTTATGGATTAATTAATGGAATGGTGATGTGAGGAATTGGTTTTGATTTAACACTTAAATGCATAACTCCAATTTGGGAGTGATGGAACAAAAATTTCCCAATATTACCCATAGGGAGCTGGCTCTGGTCTGCTCATATTCAGCAGGATAGATGGTCAGATATTAGGCAGTTTGTTAATGAAGTGCTGTGATAAATGCACATGGAAAATTCCAGGGTGATTTACATCCTCTGTGATACTGCAGAAGACAATAAGATTGCTTGAAGTTAGATTGAAAAGTTTTTTCTTTTAACTTATTTTATTCCCCATTATTATTTCTAATCCTCTGTCAAAAACACCTGCAACTTCCAACTGCTTCACATATTTCTAAGGTACCTCCTGATCCCTGTGCAACCAAAAGTGTGATCAGTAGAAGGCACTAATTTGAATGCACACAATACCTGAGCACTTCAACTGTGTAATGTAAACACTAGAAGAAATCCAGGAAAGAAAGATATGCTATGGCATTCAGTTACATGCTCTTAATATGTTAAGTTAGCAGATATGATCTGTCACATCAGAGGTTCAGAAATGTTCACTCCTGAGCTTTGCAAATCATTTTCTTCAAATTCTGAAGTGTTTATATGAATTAATTGCATTTTCCTTCCATATTACCAACTGAAATATGGATTTTGCTAAAAATAGGGGAAAACTAGGATACAGGAAAGAGGGATAATAAGCACATATGGATAATATATACCTACCACATAAAGGCCTGATAAAATTACACAAAATCAATGACAAAAAATTAGTATTTTATCTTTTCCCATGAATTCAACATCTTGTTCAACAGTAGGCATTATTTTATATCATGTTCTGCATGCAAGGCAAAATGTATTTCATCCTGAGAGACATTATCAGACATAGATTTTAACTTCAGAAATATAAGCTTTCTTTAAACAAACAAATAAATAAACAAACAAACAGAAACCCCAAACTCCCTCTTTTCTGCCCTTGAAACAGCACAACCAGCTTGAAACAGCATGATGATACGCCTTCTGCATACAAAAGAGGGACCTGGCTATTAGAAGAAGTGGTCTTTTCCCCTTTCACTGGTTTATAAGTAATTCCACATTTAAATGTATCAAATTAAGTGTGGATATTGGTGTTAAGCATGTATTTAAAACTGTAGATTGAGGTCTTTCAGTCAGAGTGGCTTAAAAGGAATTGTGGTGAAGATTAAAACAATGACTATTTCCCATTTTATTTTAATGGAAAATAAAGTTGAAAATATCAAATGATGAATTGTATTCTACTTGAGTGAATTTAGAAACCTCCCATAATCAATTAGGAAGGAAGACAGACCACTGTAATGTGCAGAGATATTTGTCAGGTTTACCTGCTTGTGAGCATGGTCATAAGAATTGATGTGGTTGTCAAATTCCTGGTGTTTGTGGTACTGCTTGTCACATAGTTCACAGTAGAAGTTAGCCTTCACATCTTCCAGAGCCTTGGCTGCAGCTTTCTCCTTCTCAGCATAGTCCTGCAAAGACAGAAGCAAAGGAACGCCTTTCACTATAGATTGTGATCTCATGCTTCAGCAGCTTTTTTCATCATCCCTGTTAAAAACACTAGACTGACTATGATGGCTAGAACACCAAGGTCCATCCTGTACATGCTCAGGAGGTTTTGCTCTTAAATTGGATTTAATAAAATAATTGTGTTCTTTGAGGAATTATTCTTACTACTTGTTGTAGGTACTGCAGTAAGAAAAGTAGAGAGGAATAGGGAGCAGAGGAATACCATCAGGATATTGCCTAGTTCCTGGGCAGGACAGCTGAGCAGTCAAGAACAATTAAACAACCAGGGTTAGTCTGTTAGTCTTCACATCAGTCCCAAATTGTATGAACATGTGTGTGTTCCTTAGGTACTACTGCTCAGAAAAAAATAAGCTGTTTTAATCTGATACTAAGGCAGATTTTCTTTTGTGTTCAGCTTTCTACCCTCTATGAAATATTCAGCCAGCCCAAGCAGCAGCTTGCTATGGCTGGCTGAGATTTCACTGGAGCAGAGCCACCTCTGCAAAAGCCTTTTAGATGCCTTCCTTTGCTTTCCCAACATCTGCATGAGGGGACACACCACCCAGCCTATCCAAAATGAAAGTAACTGTCACCTGTCCCACAGACCACAGCCACTGATGAGAGCACTAGCTCACGTCCAGGCTCAGGTAGACACAGTTGAAAACAGGGAAAACACAATTAGTTCCCACACAGAACCCCTCCATATCTCCCCAGTGACTCAAGTGAATGCTCTGGAGAGTCAGATACTTTCATTTCAATACATAATAATAGGCAGAAAGAGAAAACTTAAAACAGAGGAACCAAAAGTTACTGAACTCAAACTAATGCAATTAAATAAAGGGCTTGATAGGAAAAATTGGCAGCAGCCTTTGCCAACCTTATTTCTTTTACAAGTCCTTCATTATATTGTTACTATTATGACACTTCCTTAAACATTTTTCATTAGAGCTAAAGAGCAAACTTCTGACGGGGAAAACAAGAACAAAAAATTTGGTAGAAGCTATTCATTTTATATTCATATTGACAAGCTGATATTACCTGAGTGTATGTAATATATTGCCAGGGACTGCAGTAATTCATCATTTGCTGTATCACTTTACTCACCTAAAGAAATTGGTACTTTCTGCTACCAGACTTTCCACAATCAGTGTTGCTTGTTGTCTACCTGCTTTCACCACCCTTTGCATGGCAAACTTAGAGTACACCAAACCCAGGACATACTGCACATCTGGGACAGCCTGTTCTTAGCACATCACACTGCCCAGCATTGCTTCAGGGTACACAGTAAAGAGTAGGCAACTATTTGGACATGGCAGATCAACACAAATGTACATTTTGGGCCTTTCAGAGGGGAAGGACTTTCTTAATGATTGGCACGCATTTTGAGTTTGAGACTTGGCCAAGCAGCTGGGATGCTGGTTATCAATATGACACACTGAACATTTCACAGCCCTGTACTGTGAGTCCTTCTGCTCTGCCCTGGTCTTTAAACCCTCAGATTAGTATAAGTAGATCTTCTTTACACCATAGTTTTAGAGGCTGGCGTTGCTAGTGAGATTAACTTCATTTAAACTAGGCTGTCTAGAAGCTAGGTGTAGGGTATAAGGCAGTATCCTAAGCTTCCTCTGTAAGAAACAGAAAAATGCTATTCACTGTCAAAGGGTTATTAATCCCATCTATTTCAAAAACCCATTTTAGGATGAGATGAAATTCTCCAGAGGTTCTATCTGTCTCCCTTGAACACTGCAAGGCTCTGAATTACTAACCCGGCCTACATCCTTAATTCTCAGATTGCTGAACTCAGAGATAATAAATTCTATCTTGTATTTCTTTATATTCAGTTCTAAATCTCCCCATGAAACTTGCATGAACTGACCTACTTGAAGACAAGAGGTCAAAAAGGAACACTGTGCCTGGAATTTTGATTTTATAAATGATGCCAATGACATGCCAGTCCCTCCCACAGGACAAACATCCAAATAAATCTCTTTCCTAGAAGCATATGGCTCAGGTGGGGTAGTGTAGTGTGGTATACTCAGACTGGTCAGTTGTAAAAACAATAAGCTTGAGCTAACATTTCTCCACTTGAGAGGCTGCTCAGTTATTGTAGTTAATATTTGATTGTATCGGGAAGAAATATTCTCACAATCAAATAGTTAAATAGCTTTCATTAGTTATTTAAATTTACAAAGCCTATTAAAAAGTGATACTTTTCAGCTTATGCTTCAGACCCATTGTTTTGCTAGCATTAATTATTCACCAGGCCTTTGATATAATTAAAATGCATAAATTAGAATGTGGATGCAATAGTATTAATTATGCAGAGATGTCTTCCCTGAAAGTCGAGTGTTAAGGGCAACATATTTTCATTCTAAAGTGGTAAAAATGTAACTTTTGAACTCACTGGAAGCCAGTGAAAAATAATTGTTTTTTTTGGGGGGAGGTACTTTTTTCCCTGGGTCTCAAATGTCAATTAAATGTTTACAACCTGCTCCATCTTTACTTCTGTTGAAGGAGAAGTCGAATTGTTTGGGGTGAACACACCACATTACTCTCTGTGAAGCACAACTGAAACTGCTGCTCATGAGCATTCCAAACTGCCAACTTTATCTTTCTCAGCAGAAATTAATACAGTTCCCTTCACATAAAGATGTTTTAAAATAGCAACAAGGCAGCTCCCAGGTGCATGCTAAGATAATCACAACTACCTCCATTGCCTTATTGCTTAATTATGCTTGTCTGCCATGGCAAAAGATATAATTTCCTGCTTGCTTATCGATCAGATGCAGGGAAATTGAATGCTACATCGCATATTTTAGAAAGGTCATGGATTTTTCTTTCCCTACAAAGGCATAAGAACTTCCAGCCCTACAGTACATTGTGCATAGTCAAATGAATTTTCACATCTAGACTCCTAATATAATCTCACAAGGATTATGTAGACTGATGGTTAGTTCTAGCATAATAAATGAGATCACATGAAAGAAAATCTATCCAATTACAGCTGTAGAAAACATATGTGTGCCTGACTATACCAATGCAGACACAAGCAAGCTGGAAAGATGCGCCTATGTATTTTGAACCATGGACCATCAATGGTAATGAATATATGCACCACAACTTCAAAAACTTTATTCTGAATTATATGCTAGTTATGAATGGCATATAACCTGGGTAGATATGTGTGTACTTATAAGAAAATATATGTTAGCAGTTCTGTCTTTGACCCATGGACAACATTAGTACAAGTTGATGTCAGAGACGGTGCAATCCTTGTAGGTGAGAACTCCTAGAAACCATGGGTTAACACACTTCAGTGTTGCTGGATACAGATAGTGTAGTGTACAAGGATAAGCAAGTGCAGAATATATCTGAATGCATTTTTCTAGAAGCCTGAAAAATGGTTTCATATTGTAGATTGTAATTACATTCTCATCAATTTGACCAACAGAGGCACATAACTGTAATAATTGTTTATATATTGGATTAATTTAAAAAGAATACTTCTATTGAGTGTTAGGTTAGAAGTGCTTTCACTTAGTAGCTACTTTTGCAGTGTGCTTCTTATTGTTAAAATGCAATTAATGGTATCTGACACTTCATTTTCTAATATAGGGAAAATCAATGGAAAACGCCATGTAACTGAGTTTTCTCAAATGTTGCCACTGACACCTAGTCAATTAGAAATCATTTATTAAATACAGAGTCTGTAATAGATATTTAATAGACTGCATGGCCATTAAAGGATGTTGACCTAGACAAAACAATACCACAGTTCTTATCTCAGTAACTGATAGTAAATATATCTGCTATGTTCAAATGGACTAAGATGAAAAGTAGGTCACTTGATACAATAAAACTTTCAGAGGCAATTTTCTAAAAATCCATGGATTTCTATAAATACAAGGAACTAAATATATGGTGCTTGTAAACAAAACATGAGAAAAATATAACATCATTAGCACACTTTTGATTACCTATTTCTAAATTGGAATGTAAAATTAGTGACAGAACAGCTAACTCACATTAATGCAGAGTCAGTAAGTGACAGACTGATCCCTCTTCAGGGACATAAGCAATCAGAGTTTGGTAAGTTATATATAATTTTGTGAACCAGATTAGATATAAGTGCAAGTATTAAATATTCTTTCAACTACTGAGGTGCCTTTTGGGGATTCTCAGACTAGAGGTTAAAGGAGAAATAGGACAAATATAAGCACATGAATTAGCTACAGAATTATAGTCTACATCTAAGATTTTAAAAATATTTTCATTAGTGATTTAGATGACAAAATGAACTGTGATTATGTATGAAATCTATTAATGATACTAGTTAACAGCACAGGGCATACAAATGCTTTAGGGACCAGGATCAAGATTTAAAATTACTGTAATAATCTTGAGATATGGTCTTAAGTTAGCAAGATAAAATTCAGTAAGATGTGTGTCAAGTGCTGCACTTTGGAGAGGGAGATCATGTTTACCAATACCAGATTGTGAATAGCTGAGTAAATGCAAATGCAAGAGAAAAAAGGTCCAGGAGTTAAGAGTGGAAAAGAAATTAAATGAAAGTCAACAATGAAAGTCAAGGCAATTCACATCCTGACATGCTAATAGTAATGTTATATGTAAGATGCTGAGGGTAATGATTCTACTTGATTCAGTATTGGTGAAATGTCAGCTGTAAAATACTATTTGGTACATCTGCACTAGCAAATAACTTGGCTCCTAGAATCCAGCCCTCCATCATCCCCACTCCATGTGTGACAGTTCATTCTCAGTCTTTTTCATTTCAGAGTTCCCTTTGAGATAAAAATGAGTGCTGTTCCAGAATAACGTACCATTCAGGGATCACCCTACAGGCTGCAAGGATGAGTCTTCACCAGTCTCTCCTTGCCCTGTATAGTTTTACAACAGCCCAAGTGACTTTTCCCAAGGAAAGCAATACTTACATGCCACAAAA